CGTTTACTCTCTTCCAATTCGTTTCTGGCGTGCTTAGAAGTGTTGATAGCTTTGGTTATACTAGCAGCTCCACCCGCTAGAGCACCTGTTGCACTTAGTCCGGCAAATAGTGCAGTTAAAGACGCTGGTAAAATTCCATCAATTTTAGCTGGGATGGGGAGAAGTCGAGGCCTAGGCTTCATTTTTTTCCTCCCTCCAGTATTTTTAACTGCTTGACGTGCACCTTTATGTGCACTCTTGACAGCATCGGGTCCAGGCTGCATGGAACCTCTGGCAGTTCGTATAATCTGTCGCAGTAGTATCTTCTTCTTCACACTTCCTCCTCTACGTTTCTTCGCACCAACACCACTACAGCTGTTTGCACTAACGCACTAATGCGAACAGCTGTAAACACTAATGTTTAGCCCCATACCGAATTTATGTTTCATCTTCAGGAGCTTACTCACACTCCAAGTAGCCGCCTTCTCACCAAGACTAGGGTCTTTCGCAAAAACTCTTTGCAGAGCTTTATCAGCCAGAATTCTATGAGCGGTTTGACTGGCTAGCAAATTCTCTCTATTCTTTGAATAGGCTATATCGTGCTCGGTACACGCTTTATCCAATGGATTTATCCCCGGATCCCCCCGTGCTAATCGTCTAGCGAACTTGGTTCCCAGTCCACAATACTGGTAGCCCAGTATATGTAATTCAACAGGTAATTTAGTGATGATATCGTTGACTATTCCTGTACCCCTGGGCCCGGCAACCTGGGCTCATCGGGCTCACGCGGCTCCCGAGGTTCGTTAGTGAGAGCTGGGAGAGGGGCCTCACCCACTTAACGAAACTACCTGTTCTAATTCGATTTTTCTCTCTCTCTAAGGCCTAGTTTGACCAATACAAGCAGAGGGCGGCCATGTGATCAAGCGGCAATTTTCAACTTTTCATAAATTTGAAATATAAATATCAATTTTTCACTCGAAATAGGCAACAATATTAGACAAAAAATATTTTAATGCTTTCACGATGAGCACTCACCGTGGACAATTATTTCATGTCCAGATGATATTTGCAGCCATTTACTAAAAAAATGCAATATTTGATGGCAATTTTCATTTGAATTTTAATTTTGGATTTTAGAGGGATGAGCAATATTCGTGCAATTTCAATGTCTGTCGGAAATCAATAAAAATTTATTAAAATGCGGTTTTCAATAGTAATTTCAATAGTGATGGAAGGATAGAACTTGGATTGCCCCGAATAAGTGACATGTATGTCCGACAGTTTCGATGAATGACCATGGTCGATGGAAAACGCGGTTTATATGGTGCACTATAATATATACTGGTTCTTACAAAAGAAGTAGCTTCGGATTTCGGCCCGAGCCAGTCCCTCCACTCTTCGACCGACCGCCGAACGCTGAAACGAATCCGGCCTCCGCCAGGACTATTTTCCCACCTACCCGCAAAAATTCTTGAATGTCCATGGATTGAAATGTTTTAATGTTTTTTGAATTAAATTGTAAAGATTGAGAGATTTATCGTGTTTTATGAGATTATTGGGTCTTGGGTGTGCTTTGTGTTTAATTATCTGAAACTGTTGGGAAGGCCAGGTAAGTAAAAATTGGGGTTTTCTACCCAAAAGTAACTTGTTTACAATGTGATTTTTTTTTCAATCTCTTTATCCATTGAAAAATGTGAATTAATTCATTAATCAACTATTTGAGAGAAAAAATTATTAATCACGAAAATTGTGTCTGCAACATATTTGTTTTTGGTATTGTTATTGGGATTATTCTGTTTAAATGATATAGTTCTGCTCCGATTCATCACCCAAACTTAATATGACTTTGACTTACCACTTATGAAAATGTACCTAATTATTATTTCAACTCCTTAAAGTCCTATTGTGTGTGTTAGTGGGAAACTGTTTTGGAAAATGATACGATTAGTCGATAAAAAAATTAAATTGTTATGGAATTATCATCAAAATTTAATAGAATACATTGGAGAAGATATGGTATTTAGTTTTAACGGATAATATGAACAAAACCCAAAAAAAGAACAAAATTAAAACGTTGCAAAACAATTATTCGTTGGTGGGATGAGTAAAATTAATTTTGCATGTTTTCAAATGGAAAGAAGATTTGATTTGTAGACTTCTGAGCCACTTTTTTGTACATCTTTTTCTGTTTTAAAAAAATTATTCCAGCAATTTTTTGTGTCAATTTCCACATGAAAAGGTTTGTGCTCCTTGATTCTTATTCCAATTCTTCAAGCCCTAAAAAAAACATTTTTTGTAGTTAATTAATAATTCGTAAATTATTTAAGCTTCACACTGCAACAAACAAGATCGAAACAAGAGTGGGCACTGACTCAGAATCATCCTATGAAACGTGACTTCTGAATTCTGAATGTAAATTCATAATGGAAAACTATTTTTTTTTCTTAAAAAGTTCCTAAATTATGACAAAATCTATGAGTACTATGAGGGCTGTCTGTTATTATTGTTGAAGAAAAATGGTGAAAACCAGTTTTTTTTAATATTCCTGCCAATGATTGAGTTAGAAAATTTCAGTTGCATTAATTGCACTATTTGGAAACCGATTTTCTGAGAAAAAATAGGAAGGTATAAAATTTGCTCAGTACTAAAATAATAATTGTAATAAAATAGAATCTTTTCTCCTGAAATAAACGCAATTATTTATACTTCTAGTGGGGTCAGAATTGGACTTGCATAAGATGAGGTTCGTGAGAGGCGATGTCACTCCAAGGCGACCCATTAATCGCAAACATTGGAATAAAGATATCGGTAATAAAAGAGGACGAACGTTTACTCGACAATTTCAAGCTGCTATCTATCTCATCCATAGATATTTTGAGGGGGAGCGAGATCGTGGTGGTCCCTTCCTACCTTTGCAACTTGTCAGGTAAGTGTTGCAAGATTGTACTAAAAAAAGTAATAAAAAAGTTTGAAAATTTTTCGATACTATTAGAAATCATAAATTCAAGAGCCACCCTAAATGGCTATGTTCTATATTTTGTTATAAATTTCGGGTAACGGAATCACAATTATTTGAATAAACATCCCATTATAGAAAAAAAATGTCCAAAGTGACTGATATATGAGAAATTAGAAAACAACTTGGAATTTTTTACATAAATGTGCGTCGATGTGGAAGAACCCTTAAATTCTTCACACTACGATCGTGGTGCTAATCTCCTTATGGGATTTCTCTAGTCCTCGAAATTAGATCGAAGTTAATTTCCTCAGAAAGAATAATTCTATTTTATGAGAGATTTGAAACAAGCGGAAAATATATTGTGGAAAATACATTTTTTAATTGTGCATAAAACTCGCAGCTAACGAAAATAGGATTTATATATATATTTTTCTTACCGACGGTAGTAGCCCTGCGGTTAGAGTGCTAGACTAGCATGCCAACGATCCAGGTTCGATCCCGGGCACCGGCGGTCAAAATTTATAGCGCTCTAACCTCACACTTTCACTATCGAGCGGTAGTCCTGTCAAAAGGACGACTGTACCAGGGCAGGTTTTTCCCCTCGAATGAGGTTTTTCCCTCCCTTCGGCAAATGCGGTACAGGGGGTTTGGGGGGTGGGAAGGGAACAAATCGTAAAGACCCGAAAGGGTATACGAGAACGAAAAAGTTTTTTATATATATTTTTCTTTAATATTAGACTCCAATTACTCGGCCTGTTTTCAATAAAAGAATGTTCATAATTTCAGGATCACCGATTGGCATATCACTAGAGATTATGGAGGAGCACTCGCCTGCAAATAAGCAGCCGGAAAAAAGGATGAAGTTTATACACCAATATCGATGCTTTATCGTTCTATTCGTTAATAGTTGTTTGCACTTTTGCATTTTTGACTATGAGTGTTTCCAATTTTTTATTTGCTTCCTCCTTTCAAAATAATGCCATTCAATCAGGAATTTATGCATGACAAATTATGTCAGATTATCTACTTGGTTTCATAATCATTTTTCTCCATTGATCGTCTTTTTATGCAGGTTTTAGGTGAAGTGCAAGGAGTTCTCCCATCTATTCTGGTTTTCTGGGGATAAAATGTTTTTAATTACCCTACTTATGGCACTCATATCCTCCAATAGCCCTTAATCTCTACTTTGCTTGTGGCATGTCAATCATTCAATGTCTAAAACTTGAATGTCGTAAAAATTAATATAATCAGATGTATGGGACGTTGTAGAGAGAGAACAGCAGCAGCTTTGGAAGTCAGCAAGAGGAAGGTGACAGAATGTGTGCAGATAGGGGAATCAGGCGCCAATTTTATGACTCCAGGTAAAGACAGGCCACGTAAAAAAATCATCCGAGCTGTTGATGACGGGGTGAAAGTCGCAATTCGTAACCTTATTTACGAATTTGCTAATAATCGTAAGTGTAAAACTTTAACTGAAGTATATGCTGGTGGCAGTGATGGTTTCGTTCCCAACGCTTCAATATTCTTTCGAACCACTGCAAAGCCAAAAAAAGCAGATGATTATCACAAGGATATGAACTGGGAAAGATTTAAGAAGTGGGTTCATGAGCAGCTTCTGCCTAATCTCCACGAGCCTTCGGCGATAATCATCGGTAATACTTCCTACCATTCGAAGCGAGTAAGTATTTCCAAGTACTTTTCCAAAAACGTTGCATTTTTATCAAAGCGTTTCAATAAAATGCAATAATTGGATTCTTTTTGATAATTCCATTCCATTAAAAAAAAATGACCTCTTGGTTTTTTTTCTTCTGTTTTATCTTGTGGTTATTATTATTATTCATGATAATCGCTTGTATTTCACACTGAATTGCAAGTGAATATCATGAATAATAATAATAGAAATTACAATATATTTAATAACTTTGAAATACTTAATTGACATTCATTTTGACTAACGCAATTTGTTTTATAATCGCCGATTGCAATTACCTAACGTTCAATACATTCCATTCACTGTTCATACAGAGTGAGAGAACCCACAACAAACTGGACCAAACCAGATATGCAAGCTTGGCTGGAGAAGCACCAGATTCAATATGATTTAGTCTCCACAAAGAAGGAATTACTAGCCATATGTAAAGCCAATAAGATGCCTATCACGTATCAACTTGACGAGTTCATTGCGAAGGAAACCCCAGACGAAATCGTTTGTTTACCTCCCTACCACAGTAAATACAATCCCATTGAAATGGTTTGGTCCTTACTGAAGCGTTATTTCGATGCTCATGTCCGCCGTGGTAATGACTTCTCCGAAGAAAACGCCAACAGGATCTGGACTGAAGCTTCTGTCACTCTGAAGTATGGAGAGCATGTTGCGATCACACAGAACGCGAGATCTTGAAGGATTATGCCAGGGAAGTGTCCGATGACTCTGAATCCGGTTATCAGATTCACATAACTTGTGAAAATAAGGATTTCATTGATGATGAAGACTTGGAAATTCTAGAGCTCTTAGCGACTGACGACAACTCAGACGACTCGAGAATTATGGACAGGGAAATTACAAACGTCTCCAGTGAGGGTTATCCATGTTCTTCAGAATCCTCCATGAACCTCATGAAGCCAGTTCGTCGAGCGTTGTTCGATTGTAAAATGGTATCTATCAATTTAGGCAAGATAATATGTACACTATTCCATTCCATTTCATGATTTGATATTCTCCATTTTTCAACAGGATGTTCAAGAGGTTGAACATGATAACCTTGTGGAATCATCAAATGCCACCAACACTTCGATTGTCCTAACCGGAGCTGATCTGGGAATTTCAACGTCTAACTCCACAATCACTGATGAGACCGGAGCTTCTGTAGCCAGTATTGTTAAAGTAATTATCCTCATGTTTAGATATCCAAGAATTGTTTGCCCTCTAACTTCATAAGTTTCCATCAAAATAAATTGTAATAGTTGAGAATTAGTTGAACGTGCATCACAACTCAAAGATACATGCTCGTAGCAGTCGTGCAGTCATTTTCAATTTGTGAAACGCAATTTGATGAGCAAAAAGTGTTAGAAAAATTCTATGTTATGGACAGTGTGATAAAAATGACTATTTCTTTGTAGTTGGGCACGGAGATGGGATATGTGAATGATAAAATCATTGTTATACCCGATGTGCCAGTTCCCATCACCACCAGTTGACGTGCAGATGATCCAATCGTTATTATACCTGATGAGCCAGCTCCTACCACCACCGCTTCACTTCATTCTTCATCGGAGCCAATGCCTACCTTCTCTGCAAAGGCAAATCTCTGAAAACGACGAAATTAGCAGGATAAATGAATTTATATGGATTTGCAAAACATGGGAATCATCAAGAAAGCTGACTTTAAGCATTTATCTTCGTGGGTCGTTTTTCGAATTTGAGCTTCGGCTTTGTACTTTCCAAATTTAGATTAAGTTGGCCTTTCTAATACGTAAAAACAGAAATGATTGGGAATATTTTTTTTCTTTCAATTCATCAAATATGAAGTCAATGTGTCACAATTTGCACAATAAATTTTTTCTACAGTATTTCCCACATTTTCCTCAGTTCCATGTCTGTATTATCATGTTTATTGGTATTTTGCAATAGGATTGGTTAACAAAAGATAAAGATGAGATTATTCCGACTCGTGGGGAAACACTCCGGGTTCAACATGTAAACACATTGTCAGGAAAGGAGTGGGCGAATGATTCCGTAAGTATAAAACCTTCTGTTTACGGTTATAACGAATGGCGTGAGTATCTTTACTAATGTATTTTTATTCTAGGTAATTAATAATTACCTGCAGCTTGTTGTGGAGCGCAGCCAGGGGTCTGTACATGCCTTCAATACATTTTTCTATGGTAGACTTGTCATTTCCTACGAGGGTGTTAAGAAGTGGACTAAGAATGTGAGGATTCAACCAATTAATCTTTGGATGGGAGAGATGAGTCGTTTCATCTCAATTTTTGTTTGTTACTCACTTTAGGTAGACATCTTTAATAAGGAATTGCTACTGATACCACTAAATATGCACTGTCCTTGGTATCTTTGTGTCGTTCGATTAACAGAGAAGCGAATTGAATGTTATGACAGTATGGGGGCTTCGCATCAATCTGAGATGAATGTAAATATTCAATTTATTACTACAGAAATCTCACATAAATTTCTCTTGTTTCTCTTGTTTGCTTAATATTTAAAATTCTTATTTCACAGCTAATTCTTCATTATCTGATGAAAGAGCATTTTACTAAGAAAGGAAAACCTTTCTCGGCAGCAGGATGGACAATGACCGATGTAGAGGTACATATGTTTAATCTTGATTCTTAAAACACATCAAACCATTCCTTGCTTTTCATCTTTTTAACGTCCATCAATAGGATATACCCCGGCAGAACAATACTTGAGATTGTGGCATTTTTCTGTGCTCATACGCTGAGTATTTGACGAGGCTGGCCCCTTTCACGTTCACCATCGCCGATATGCCAGATATTCGGCAAAGAATGATGAACGAAATTGTTTCATCACACTTGACTCATTCATTGTCAGAATCCCCGCCTACACCGTTAGGTCAGGAATGTGTTGCTGCTCAAGAACCGGCAATGACTTCAGTAAGTCACTCAAAGTGATCAATTATTCCTTGTCTATTGAAATAAAATCTACCCTTTTTATTTCTCTACGTGTCACTTTCATTCGTTCTCGCTGAGGATTTCCCCGGAAAAAATGAGCTTCATTTCTCAGGGTAAACAAGCTTGCTGGTTGCTGAACGCCAAAAAATATGTGGGTGAGGTGGTAGTCACAGGCATTGATCGGGTTCTGTTGCATCAATCTGCCACATTTCATCAAGGTGACAAACGGTTTCCGCCAGAACGAAGGAATGCTCAGTGTACTGCCATTTCCACAGTTGGCATTGTCACCTTATTACTTTCATCTACTAACGTCACTAGAAATCTTCTGGATCAGATTTTAATTGAAGGGGATCGATATTATGTCGATTGTCGATCACAAGCTCACGTAACGGAAAATCTTCTATGCCCTGATGAACTCTTACCACGCATCGCTGCTTGTGCTCATGAAGTGGACATCAACATTCACCACATCGCCGATGGTTTCTTTTCATCGGGGAACACCCCACAGGAACTTGCAAGAGCTATCGATTCGTATGGATTTGATTATGAAGAGAAACTCCCACGCACAGGATTCTTATATGTTTCTGGTACCAAAATGGTTGGATTCATAATCTCGCCACTCATTTCAAATTCACACCGTCGCAATTACTTCCTATTTAATCCGCATTCAGTGGATAACAGGAACCGTTTTCCTCTCAACAAGCCAAATCAAGGTGCAGCTCGCCTTTTTCGTTGTCTGTCTGCTGAAGCACTGATAACTTTGCTGCTTGCAGATCGACACGGGCAAATTAACGGTGCCTGGCAAATCTATCGCATTGAGGTAATTGAAAGGAAAGCTGACTTGATATTAATGTTTTGAACTTAATGATATATAATGAATCTGAGTTCGAATTCTACTGCTTCTAATATCATCTTTCCACGTTTTCCAAATTGACGAGCAAGTGACGTGAACCACTTGTGAATTTGTATCGATTTGAACTCGAAGCGGAGAAGTAAGTTATACTTTCATGATAATATTAAATTGTTGGAGGAATTGAAATTGTGTATGAATATTCAGATCGACTTATGACACTATTGTTAAATAATTGGTCATTTTTTTCTATAATCTGCTGTTCAAAGGCTTCATTCGTGTCCAAAGAATGCATTGAACAATTTCTTGGCGACAATCGTGGAACAGAGTAGAGAGTCTTGGGGACCATCAACCGTTATTAACAACGAAGAGCGAAGTCGCATTCAATTTTCAATTATGCAGTTCAGTTTCTTCATGTTAGTTTATTTGTTTGCTCTTATGTCATTTTTCTACAATTTACGAATCTGATCAATTCATTCAAATTTTTCATCATCTGCTTGCAGCCACTTCTGGTTGAGATTTTCACACGTTCCTGTAGCTCCTGCATTCTCTAATTTCCAGCGAAGTGCATCGTTTTCATGTTTTCAGCCAATGCGTGCGAGTTATATATTATTATATATTGTGCATTTTTATGTTATAGTTATTGTAGATTATCCGGTGTATCACTGTTTTCATGTCATTATTATATTGTCATTATTACTATGGAAAGTGGAATACAAACAAAATGAACCGCTTTAAACTGTCGGTAACTTAAAAAATGATAGAATGAAAATTTCTTTTTAATCAGTTCAATTTCGTTTTTCTGGAATTTTTTGGCTTGTGATTAAATGCAATTGAAAATGCCGGTCAAAGTTGGCGCGCGCGGAGTGATATTTTCGAGGTTAGGAGGGCATGCGCGAGCAAGAGCAGGGGTCGGCCGGGAGTGGAGGGATTGGCTCGGGCCGAAACCCGAAGTTACTTCTTTTGTAAGAATCAGTATAGTGCAGGTTGGTTTCTTGGAAACCTAAAAATTGGAATTCAAGTAATAAAAATAAACTCGAACAGTGCCAGAGATGCTATCCTTCCATCGAAGTTTAAGATTAGAAGGTACGATTCACCGGAGAAATAATGAAAAAATTGATTTTCTCATGCTATGAATAAAAAATTTCATTTTTCATTTTGACGTGGCAAAATGAGTAAAAATCAAAATGTAATATGAAAATCGCCAATGGAATTTCCAGGAATATATTCCAAAGTCGACAATGGCAACTTTTCATTTTTCAAATTTAGAGTTCCAATATTACTATTTGAAAGAACACTAATAATTGGCGACTACCATTTCGGAAATATATTCTCCAAGGTTTTCCTATGCAAATTTTACTTTTTCAATTTTATATTTAAAATTTAAAACTGAAATTTGGCGCGAATTCTGGTGAGTCGGCAATTTTTATTCGACTCGCACGCCACTCTACGTGGCTGACGAAAATATCGTCACCACTGGGACTTACTCGCACACAATGGTTGGCTAATTGGGTACACATTAGGATTTGAGGATTATCCCGACCCTTGGAATAGGCTGGCTCCCGACTACCTGAAGGTTGCCGGGCCCTGCTGTACCCTTCCGCGTTCCAACAGGTTTGCTCACGTGATCTTGGGCAGACTGAAGTGCAAGGCTATAAATGTCGTGTATTTATGGAGTTTGATAGCAGTTGTCAAGATGGAGTTCAAGCAGCAAAGTTCGAAGGTACCAGTGATGAATTTCGACAAAATTACCGAGAAAAAGAAGGATAAACAAAAAAATCGCCACGGTCCACTATTACCCAATACTGTACGTGCAATTATATGTGGACCTTCAAATTGTGGCAAGACGAATGCGCCGTTCACTCTCATTATCCACCTTAATGGACTGAGATTTCAAAATGTCTACGTTTACTCCAAGTTCTTAAATCAGCCGAAATATCAGTTTTTGAAAAAATTATTGGCAAAAGTGAAAGCTTTTGGCTATTTTCCATTCAATAATCACGAAGAGGTGGTCAGACCTCAGGAAACTCATCCAAAGTCACTCATGATATTTGATGTTGTCGCGTGTGAAAAACAGGATAATATGCATGCATTCTTTTGCATGGGTCGCCATCAGAGTGTAGGCTGCTTCTATCTTTGCCAGACCTATGCACGTATTTCGAAACACTTGATACGTGATAAGATAAATTTACTCATTCTTTTTCGTCAGGATGCAATGAATTTGAAGCACATTTCTCAGGGTCATGTTAATACAGACATGCCATACCCAGAGTTTAAAGATTTGTGGTCTGCTTATTGGAATGATGATAAACGTGAGTTTATCACCATCAACACAGACTGCGAATTGCACGAGAGACACTATCGACGAGGATTTGATTGTTTTGTATGTATAAAAACAAGCTGATGATTGACGCTCGAGATAGTGTTGAATTGAACGTAAAACCTTCAACATGCGGCCTACGGGTTTGCAAGAGGAGTCCGACGTATTGCATCATATTGCTGAGGCAAACAAACCAATTCCTCAAAAGTATCAAACTATCAAAATGGACAAAGATATCGCGGAAAGAGCTATAAATATGGCCTTGAAAAGTTTCACTGCATATTTTGCATAAACGTGTTGCGGACACCGCTGTTTACTACGGTTAAAATTTCTGTTTAATAAATATAAAAACCTGGTACAACACGAGGTTATAAATAATACAAAGGGACTCGGAAAAACCCTGCACAATGGTGAGGAGTGTTGGAAAACCCAGTCAAAACATCGATTATGTGAGGTTAACGCGACGAAAGGCGACCCCGTGGGGGGGGGACACTCAAGCAGTCATCATCATGCGGGCCTCCGAAGAGTCAAGGAATGACCATCAAAGGACAACTCCTGGAAATCACAAAACTCTTAGAGGAGGCCATACAAATTGCTCAAAGGCATAACTAAAGAGATCCTTTTGACTTCTTTTCTTCTCTCAATTGAACATGGGGGCACCAATATAAACAACCCTCCAATGGTAAACATAGATGAGAATAGA